TTTTCCTTTCCATTTTCCATTCCCTCTTCCCCCGTCCCTAGCAATTCAACTCCGAGATCCCGAAAAAAAAAGAAACCGCATTCCTAATCTTAACAGCCCACCCTACAATTCTCTACGGTACGTCTACCTAGATATCCTACGAGTCTACCTACTAAAACCCACCTAGGGAAATTCGACTCTAAAGTTCAAACCACACTCAACTCACCATGTGGCTGGATCCTCACCCTCTCTCCTCTCCTCTCCTGTTCTATTCTGTTTCCACACCATCACATCATCACCTTATCCATACATCCATGCATGCACGCGTCCATTCCACCATCCATCTATCCAATACCCACCTCCCATTTACAGATGATCAAACCTTGGCATTTCTACTAGATTTTTTCTAGAAGATTTCCCTTTCCATCCATCTTTTCATCTACAATATTAGTATCCAGTATCTCTCCTCCTCTCTATCTAGTCTCTAGTCATTCAAACCCAATCTATCCTATCCTATCCCACCTTAATCATACATTTCACGAAATAACTTTATACTTTTATCTATCTAGATATCTACCTAGTATTCTTATTAAAATTTCGAGGGTTTGAAATTTATACTATACTTACTTACTTACTTACTTACTTACTAACTGAACTAGATAACTACTAAATAGATAGATAGATAGATAGATATCTTTTTTTATAAGAAATTATCTATTATCTTATATATAATCTTGATATACTATATTTTATTATCGTAGATTAAATTAACTTATCTAGATTATAGATCGTAGTATTAAATAGAGAAGAATAAGTTAATAAAGAAATAAATAGATAGATAAACTAAACTCCAAGTAAAATTTCTTCTTACTTATTACCCAGTATCTATATAATATATATATACTATACTTTATATATAGTATATTAAAAGATAGATAAATATCTAATTAGATAGTAAAACTATTTCAAATCTTACTCACCACCTCACCGCACTATAGCGAATCACTCACTCCATCTCCTCCGCGAAAAAATCTCGGAAGGTCTACTGATAAAAGATGAGTCAATCGAAATGTACGGAGTTTTTCGGTATATGGTTATGAATTATTATATTTTCATATCTAGGTATCTAGGGTAGGTATTTTATTTTACTTTATTGTCTGTCTACTATAGGATATAAGGAAAGGAAACTGGATTCTGAAGGGTTTTATGTATTTATTATTATTATTAGTATTAGTATTAGTACTATGAATCTATAATAGTAGAGACTGTATGAAGTATATTCAACGAGTTTCTGAATTGTTACTCCATACCTAGGTACGAAGTACAAACTCATGTATCAAATTATCAATCCAGCTCCCTCCTCCAACTTGACTCGATGATTGAGCAAGGAACACCTAGTCAGTTTATTCAGACTTCACATTGGATTCGAGACTCGATTGGTTTGTATTTATCGGAAAGAATAAGATTTCCCTGACCGTCTTGAAAGCGTGGTTTCTCATTGTGTCGTTCAGCTACCACCAACCGACCAGGGCAGTGAAAGCGTGACCGGTGACTAACTGACTAACTGACTGACTGACTGACCTACATTTCGGAGAGGAATTTCACACCCCTCCAATAAATGGATCCCGTTCCTATGGTATCGTAAATGGTAATGCCAACAACGAACGCGGGGATGTAAGTGAAGTGAGTGAAGTGGAAAATATCCTTCCTTCATCATTACCACCCATGTCCTGGGAACATCCATCCCGATTCCACCGACCACTCCCACCATCTGCATCTGTCACCCTTTCACGTCCGTGTTTTACATTTTTGATGATGTGTTTACTTGGGTGGTGGTCACCTGATGACTGACTGACATCGATTGATATTCGTTGTTACACTCGTTGTTACGGTCAAGCCCAAGGAGATTCCCGAACAGGATTCTCGCGCTTCGTTGTCTCATCCCAACTGGTTTGGACATGAAGCTCTCGTGATGTAGAGACTGCGTCCGGGCTAGTATAGAGTACCTACCCCCCTCGTATGGTACAGTATGACCATGACGAGAACAAGCACATGGCGAACGAGACCAAAGGAGAAAGATTTACTTTTACTTAGCACATAATTGAGAAGCTCGGACTTTTCTGTCGGACGCCTTTATTTTGCAGCCTGGAGTGGATGGATGGATGGATGGAATTGACTCATCGATGGATTTCCGGATACCGATGCCCAAAATCGATAGAGGATTCTCTTTTTGGGCCGTCGGGGTTAATGAGTGAGGGTGAGGGTGAGGGTGAGGGTGAGAATGAAAATGATATTGAGAAGTGGGATTTTCTTATCCCGACACGCCAGATTCCAGATTGGATGCCATTGGTGAGATGGAAATTTCTCAAAAGCAAGTATCGTATCTTGGGTACAAACGGTAGGTAACCGTAACATGCTACACAAATCGGAGCGGATGGAAAACAAACAAACAAAACGAAATATCTCGAATTTTCCACTTCTCTCGATTCCACGAGGGTAAAAGCGGATACCCACTTTCCTTCACTGAGGTCCTGCCTGTGAAGGAATACTGCAGCCCGTAATCACAACGCCGGAAACGAGCATGAAAAAAAAGCCACCCAAGAAAAGCTGCTGCTGCACGCTTATTATACTTGTCGTCGCCAAACCAATCACAATGTCAGCTTCGGATAAGGTGGGGGATATATTTGACACGGTCATTGGTCGTGTGCTTCAAGGGTATTATTAACAGTTAATGTTTATGGTATTCTCCTATTTGCTATCGACGCCTCTGTTTAAAAAGCCTTTGCTTCTGAGATGACTCGGCTGGTGACATACCAGATTCGATCTCATCGAGAATTACTGCTTACTTACGCTTATGAATCTCCAGGATTTTGATATGAAAGATGCGAATGATGTGAAAGGCTGAACAAAAGTTTGAGTTTCCTGTAGTTCTTCTTTCCGTCTTTCCTTTCCTCCATATTTAGAGGGGGCTGATGAATATCGCTGAGTGATATCCGGGTGTGTTACAATAAGGTCATGAAACTGGTGATGATACCGGAAGCGAGACGGCTAGGGAAGAGTTACAGACTACAGTCGCATCCAATTACTTTTCTCTCGCTTCTGATTTCATTTTGCCTTGTCTTTGTGTTGCATCTATTTTGCTTTCCTGCATGATGTGAATCCCAAGGCGGGTGAGACTACGAATGAGGGGTGGGTGGTGGTGAGAAGGCAAAAAGCTGGTGTGAGTACTTTGTAATACTGGAATTAATTCTTTGTTTTCCGAATAGTATCTGGATTTCGCCATTACCGCCATTTTCCCGACGACCTTAGGTAATCCGTGATACGAATGATGATCGTAGGTAATAATCGTCGTATGTACTTCGTAATGTCAGTGGCAATTAAGCTGAATCTAAATTTGCAATGCATCATTTCACATTTCATCGGCGATAATGACCATGCATGTTGAGAAATGATTCGAACCTCTAGACTTCTTGGTTCCGCAGGGGCAAACGGAAGTACCGAGTGGAATGCGCAATGGCGAAGAGGCTGAGGAAATCACTCGTGCCTAGGTGTGTCGATTCTCAGTATCATAGCCATGCCGCACAGCACCAGAGATGATCTATGCATGGGATAGTCGGACTGTAATTTGAAATTGCCTTCTGTTATGAGGAGGGGGAAATTTGAAAATAGAACAGCGAGAGAGAGGATTCGTATGCCCATGCGTTTCACGAGATATTCACCCCACACCGAGATCGCAAATGCCGAGACTCCGTACACCTAGGGACTGGAGGTAGATGATTAGATGATGCTCTTTCTTCTGAGCGGCGCGAGTCTCTTGGAAGGCATTTGATTGATGGGTTGAGTGATAGACATGGAGACTTTCAGCAGTGATGGCAAGGCTGTGTACGATATGCATCATCGGTTGATTGCGACGGTCGCGACGGGCTGAGCGATGAATATCTCCTGTCCTGTCCTGTCTGTGCAAGCAAGGCTCAATACGGCCAGCATCCAGCCGGATGAATGGGGGGATGTTTGGTGGGCGTGCTCTGTAATCGATCAATCATCAAGAGGAAAGGGAAATTGGAAAGGGCAGATGCTTAACAAGCAGAGACATGTACGGAGGCAGATGAAATTCTTAATTACACTTCTTGATTATCATATCATACCATATCCTATGAAGTAGCGGAACACTGCATATTCTGCACGACATCCCTAGTTATGAGAAGTACTGTGGGCGTTTTATTTCATAGAGTGAGGTACAACTTACTAGATAGTTATTAATGAGGCGAGAAGTATGAAGCATAGGTAGCATTTGATGGTTCGCAATTACATTACTGGTTTTGTTCTTGGAATAATATATTCTCGTCGCATCATTTTTGTGAATGGTAGAGGATGAAAGATATAGCTAGACTCGACTCAGTCGTACATTGAAATGAGTAGGTATTCTCGCCATAAGTACTTGGTACTATTACCATATCAGATCTAAGCATTTCAACGTTGTTTTCTTTCTTGATCAATCGTCAACTGATTGATTGTTTGAATGACCACCATGTTTCCTTCTTTTTTCTTTCGTACTTGCTTGCTTTTCTCGATTCGGGGGCTTCTCCTTCCCGTTCTACTGTATGATTCTCGGTTGGCTGAAATGGCTTTGCAACTGGCGACGCATCCAACAATGTGATTTGTAGAAAATGGAAAAGTAACAAATGCTAAGACTCATCGATGCACATTGCTTGCAACTTACATCTGCTCTGTATTTCTCTCCCCAGTACGTGCCAGTGCCCACACACATTTCGATTTTTTTCGTCGGGGGGGTGAATGATCCTGGTCTCTCACTCACATCCCTTCATCAGTCATATCATTTCCGCAGAGCTGGTTGGCTCGTGGGAGGATGCTTTGCAAGAAAAGCATGTGGTTCCTCTCCCTCTCCGTAATCACCGTCGGTGCTGCCATGAAAAGCCAATGGACCATTCAGATGGGATCGAATGGAAGCACCCTCGCACCACTCTCATTCGCGAAACAGAATTCAGAACCATGTTCGCCGCGGCAGGAATTGTAACAAAACAGCAGCCATGCCCGTCCGCATTCACAGATTTCTTCCCTCTTCATCGTCAACATGTATGATTCCCGAAACTTTTAAGTCGGCGGCTGCTTGAAGTCTGCACACATTGTTGTTGAAAATTAAAACCATTTGATTGCATCACAATCACCTCTCGACTCTTTCATATATACATATTCTATATTCTTGTTAGAAAAAATAAAGATCTTAAAAAAAGGGAATTAAAAGCATCATCAAAAAAAAGGGAAAAAAAGAGCAACGTCGTTTGTTTGTTTGTTTGCTTGTCTTTATAGGATTCATTATACGATTATTCTTTACCTCTATTCTCCCTTGGAAGAGTTCCTTCATCTGGCCTCTTAATTCTCCCGTCAATTATCACCTCGATCGACCTCTTATTCTTTCACGGGTTCACAGTTCCACGGCTCAATTCGTACCTACCTACCTACCTACCTACCTATCTACTTCGAAGTTCGTACATATCAATCACACGATTTCGGTTTCCTACACCTCACCTCACCTTACCTCACCTCACCTCATAAATCACCTTAGCCGCCTGCCTGGTTGACTGACTGACCTTTATTTTCGCCTGCTCGCCGCCTCACCGTTTGACCAGTTCATCCGTCGACATAGGTCTTCATCCATATTCGACTCATACCTAGCAACCGTAATCTCGTCTTGTCTTGTCTCGTCTCGTGTCACCTCAACCCATCCAAATCCTAATCCATCTAGCCATCCATCCCAAACAGGCGTCAATCTCCATCTCCCATCTCCATTTTCCCCACGACTCACGATCTCATCTTTTTGTTATACTATTTTCATCATTTCTACCTAAACTCAATTTACTTGATCCTTTCAAGGTTTGCCACCTAATTATTCTTATTACTTTGTTATTTATTATTCACTTGATCCAAAGAGCAAAGGGATCACGAGATTTCTTTGTTGATTGATTGATTGATTTTTTTATCTATTTATTTTTTATCGTATTTTATTCATCCTTTATTAAAATCATTACACGATTCATAAAATACCTCCTCCCTCCAGTCAATCATCAGTCATCAGCCATCAGTCATCAATCATTCAACCCAAGCTCCCAAAAGAAAAGGATTTGTACTCTTCACCTGAAGGCGAAACTGGACCTTGGCTGGTTACACATAAGATTGATTCACTCTGTACGAATTATCTATCTACTTGAGTACTTGGTATTAAACACCTAAACACCTACCAAGACTCCCGTATACTTTATTACTCACTACTCACTACTCACTACTCACTACGGTACCGGCTTTAACTTTATTTGTGGATCATCAAGTCTTCCAAGTTGCCACTAAAATCAGTCATACCCCATCAACAACTGAACACCTAAAAAGGTACCACCCACCCATATCACTCTTTCCCCCCAGACCATCCATCCATACCATCCATACCATCCATACCCTCCACACCTACCCAAGACTCACAGCCTCACCTCAAACACTTTTTCGATATATTCTCTCTCATAAAAGAGTCAAATGTTAACTTCGTCTTAAAAATCAAAAAGATCATCAATCCTCTCTCTTCTCTTCTCTTCTCTTCTCTTCTTCACTTCTTCACTTCTTCACTTCAAATAATCCATCGTGACTTCTGAGTCTTAAAAAGGATTATTGAAAGGGAAAAGGAAAAAAGGAAAGGAAAGAGAAAGACTCATACTGCGAGCCTAAACTTTGTTAGTCTCAGTCGCCTTCGCAATCTTCGCCTCTTCATCCTATTCACAAAAACGCATTACTCACTCCACTCAATCCTTTGTTCAATGACAACCATCGGTTTATAACCCTCGACTTTCCTTTACTACCCATCGCGAATACCTTCGCACACCTACACACCACACACACAGTACAGTACAACCATATTTCGAATGCTTGATTTTACTCTTTCATAAAAAGGCATACGTTTCACAAAACTACCCTTGACATACACACACACACACACCCTTACCCTCACCCTCTCGTCCAAAGTCGCGACCTTTGATGGGACGCTGGTTTACCCAATAAACTAGCCCACCATTTATCACAACACTTACCATTTCACAAAACGGAAAGGTCAACATGCTCTTAGGTCTTTCAATTTCTTACCCAGTCGCCAGTCTTACATCGTCCAAATCTACCGGTTATATCGTTCCTGAAGAAATCATTGCGATCTCTTCTGCATACTAGTCTTGCCCTCCTCCTACCTCGATCATCTAGCTTCTGCAATAACTACCGCGTTGTTGCACGAGCCTGTATCTAGTCAGAAGGTTTCTTGGGAATAGTCTACAACGTTATAATCTAGATTTCGGCTTTGTACAGACGGCGACTGGAGTTTTATTTCGCATAGAACTTTTTCATTTCCGATTTACTTACAAAATACTCCAAATACACACAAAACACTTTGAAGATGCATTGCGGCGAAGATGATTTGTCGCCTTACACCTCATTTTGTAATGGTCCTTACAGTTCCTCGATAGCCTCGTCGGCTTCCTCCTCTACGTCTTCAGTTTGGTCCGATGCAGCTTCACAAGCATCCGACAACTCTTCCATCACCAGCGCCTCCTCCGATTCCGAACCTTCATACTTCTGCGCAAATCAACCTCCCCTTCCGACTATAGCAATCGATGTCTGCGAAAAAAATAACATTACAAAATTTTGGCCACAACAAAGGTTACCCGTGGAAATTGCCCCAGAAGAAAGGCAGAACCCCAGAAGGACTAGTGTCGGATCTAGTACCCGCACAGGTCGTCCTCCTACCCTGATACGTCAAGCTGATCGCAAGGTCAACTTTGTTGACAGCCTCGTCGGTAAGCTTACTATGTATTCCTGATGATTCCCAAGTCCATGCGCTCAACCATTCCCCAGATTCTTCGGCTTTGATTGTCGAAGCCATATGGCCCCTTTCAACCGTCGCTTGTAGAAGCGAAATGGGTAAAGGTGTCCTCCCTCTGCGCATCTTCATCCAAGAAACCTTGAGAAGATCAAGGACCAGCTACTCGACTCTTCAAGTCGCCTTGTACTACCTGATCTTGATCAAACCATTTGTACCAAAGACCGATTTTACTATGGAGCAAGCGGATGACACTCAATCATTCCGGGCTTTACAATGTGGTCGACGAATGTTCCTCTCTGCGCTTATTCTCGCATCGAAATATCTGCAAGATAGAAATTACTCGTCTCGCGCTTGGAGTAAGATTTCTGGACTACCCACTTTGGAAATCAATCAAAACGAAATAGCATTCCTCCTTGCTGTGAAGTGGGAGTTGCACATTACCGAGAAAGTTTTTCAACGTTGGACCGACATTGTTTTGAACTATACACCATCATCGCAGCCTCCATCCCCAGGAGCCTCTACTCTGAGTATCGCAGAGCAATCGGTTGAGTGGAAACGAATTGTTCTCCAGCTCAACCCGGAATTGGATAACATGAACGAAATCACGAGTCCATCTCACAAAGAAGTTTGTGGTCTTCCATTGAGACCTTTCACGCCATTGTCTGCGTATCATTTTTCAGGTTCCAATGAGCCCACCTCGTCTCCAAAGCATTATTCACCTCATGTCATGGAGCCATCACCATCAGCCACGTATCCAACTGTTAGACCTGTACCGGCTCTTGGCCTTCTCCCAACTCCACGATTGACTCCCCAGAGTACTGGATACAACACTCCTGCTGTGAGTGCTGCATCTTACATGCTCGGTAAATCATCCATGAGTCTCGCCATGGCACAGACAAACTTCTGCGGCCCGCAAGCGACTGAAAAGTGGGCAGGTCAATTGACCTCATCCCCACAAGGTTATTCCTGCAATCGTCGATCATCCTTGGCCAACTCGGTCTCGTCTATGTCTTCGCCAGAGTCAATGGTTTCGGATACTTCATCAAGAACATCTCGTTCATCTTCAATCTCATCTGCATCGTCAGTGACGAGCGCGCCGGTCTCAGCAAAGCTGGATGTCCAGGCGCGTTGTCGATATGCGAAGTTGTGTAGTGAGAAGAAGAATAGAAATGTTATTGTGACAGTGGCCGAATTGTGTGAAAGCTACGACGAAGTTGGGGCCGATGCATTAGATGAAGCCGCACGAACTTTATACGAATTGCACCGCCAATCCGTATCTGTGGACTCATCTAACAGAGTTGATGACAAACCCGCGCATACATCTAACAGAGCTGGTGCTAAACGAAGTAGGACTCATTCACTTGAAGCTTCTCTTCATGATAACGTACGAGACTTGTTGATGACTGGGGGTATGGCACACGTTTTGGCGAAGCCAGGTGGACATGCCAGCGATGTGCAAATTTTGCCAGCGGCATCGTCTGGAAGAAAGAGACTATGTTGTGCGACCGAAGCTGCTCGAGGACTTTCTCAAACAAATATCCACCCAGCTTTTCGCCCGGGAATGTGGGAGGGAATACTAAACTAATACACCTTACCGACTTATACATACACTACAACACACTTGTCATAACAGATTTTCTTTTTCGTTTGTCTTTTTTTAGTTGGTTGGCAAAAGAGACAGTGCAATGGCCACATCTAGCCTTCACGCATCATCACATACCATGGGAATCGGATTTTAGATGGCGTGACTGCATATGCCGTTGATCATTTTATTGGAACACTGGAATTGAGGTCAATGGTACCCGGCTAATTTTCATGGAGATGGGGATAAGGGGAAGGAACATTGGGGGCATATATCGACAGGTTGGGGGATGCTTGTACGATGGTTGGCGAATGCTGGCTTGGCTTTGTTTTTAAATGGGAGTGGGTTGGTCAAGGGTGGAATCAATGCTATGTTGCGTGCGATGAAAATATTATATCATCATTGGTAAAACATGTTGGAAGTGGGATGGCGTGGAGTTGGAATCAACCGGTGGAGTTCTTACCTTTTTTATTAAAAAAAAACATTACTTTCTTTTCAAGTCAGGACAGATGTGATATGGATGGATTTAAGCAGAAATGAATGGTGTGTGTTGGTGTGTTTAGTGGTGATGGTGATGGTGGTGATGAGAATGAAATGGTGGTGGTTGTGGTGATGAAAATTTGTCAGGTCATAGGCAAGATTTTCATGAAACATGGAATATGTATGTCTAACAGACGTTAGATCATAAAAACGTATTTTTCAATACTATCTATCTACCCTACCTACTACTACTTCTCTCTCGTGTGTGTATGTGTGTGGTTGATGTTGATGTTGAGGCTTTGATGTATTGATGTTGTGATGTTGATTGATGATTGACGATTGATGTTGACGATCGATGATATATCTAAGGTGAGTCTTCCCCGATTCATTCGTTGTATTTTATTTCATTTCATTCTGTTGTTTCTGGTTTTTGTATAGAGAGCGAGAATGTTGAGAAGTTTAGGGTGGATGGGATTAATTGTTTAGATGGAGATTTGAGATTTGAGATTTGATCTAGGATGGAAAGAGAAGGAATGAAGAAGGGAGGGTATAGATGGGAGTTAGTGTGGGTGAAGGAAGGGGATTGGGATGGGGATGGTATGGGGATGGTATGGAAGGAATTTGATGATTTGTGATTTGTGGTATCTAAGAGATTAGTGTAGATAGGGAAGCGGGGGAAGGGAGCGAGGAGGTAAGTGTAAGTGTATGGAAGTGGAACGTGTATGGAAGTGTAAGTATGAGGTGGATTGGATTGGTATTGTTTGGATGCACGAAAATATTTGAGAGATGAGGTCTTGTGAGGTATTTGGGAGGTGAGTGGGTGGGTGAGTGAGTTGAGTGGAGTGAGTGAAGAGGAGTTGAGTGAGGTGAGGTGTGAGGTGGGATGGGAGATGGGGTGGGGGATTGAGGTGAGATGGGGGATGGGATTGGGAATGAGGTGAAATGGGGATGGGATTGGATGAGTGAGTGAGTGAGTGAGTGATTGAGTGAGTGAGTGTGAGTGAGTGATGAGTGAGTGAGTCTGTGAGTGAGTGAGTGACGTGGTGCGGAGTGAGTCGGAGGTAAGGAGTGGTGAGTGGTGATTTGGGCGATTTTATTTGATTTGAGAGATTTGAGAGATTTGAGAGATTTGAGAGATTTGAGAGATTTGAGAGATTTGAGAGATTTGAGAGATTTGAGAGATTTGAGAGATTTGAGAGATTTGAGAGATTTGATGAGTAATAAGTAGGTGAGTAGATAAGTTGATATATAGGTAAGTATACAAGTTAATAAATAAATTACTAAATAAGATAAGAGATGAGATATCTAGGTAATTAATTATAAATTAAGATTTATATTCTGATATATATTAGATTTACCTAGGTAGATATAGAGTATATTCAGATTTAGATTTTAGAATTAGCGTGGATAGGAATGCGGATATTTATTTTTTTTCTTTTATTTCTTTTATTTCTTTTATTTCTTTTATTCATAGATTACGAGACTACGAGATTCTCAGATTGCGAGAGTAAGTAAAAGTGAAAGTGAGATTAAAAGAAAAGAAAAAAAAAGAAAAGGAAGAGATGGATAGGTTTTAAAAGAGATAGGTGGATGGGGATTTGAAAGTTGAAAGTTGGAAGTTAGAAATTGAGATATAAGATATGTATTAGATATATGATATATAATATGCGAATTAGATATAAGTAAATGTACGAAACAAAGCAATCTCTATTTCTAGTGCTATTTCCTAGAGGAGAGAGGAGAGAGAAGAGTTGAAGATATCAAGGTAGGTAGTAGTTCAAAGAATAGGCAGGTAGATCGGGAGGGTTAGGTTGGTTAGAGGGTAGAGGGAAGAGAAGAGAAGAGAGGTTTGGTGAGTGGGTTTGTGGGTTTGTGATTTTGTGATTTTTATGTTGGTTTTTGGGTTTTTTTGATGTTTGGATATTTTATTTGGTTATATATGTTGTGAATGAGGGGTTGAAAGATTAATTAATATTTGGATGGAGATGGAGAGGTTTATATATATAAGAGGAAAGGAAAGTGATAGATAATAGATAAAAGTACTAATGGTGCTTTTATCTGTATATTCTACTGCTGTATAGTTGTAGTAGGTAAACTACCTCTATACGTGAGTAAGTTCGTTAGTTGGCGTTTGATGAGTTTCTATTTCATCTCTCTATGATTCTAGTGTATGATATGAGATATGGATTTGCGATGGATCTTATTGTATAAGTATGTAAATAGCGTAGAAAGGTAGAATAACATCTAGAATCTCGTCATACGAAGTAATCAAGTATTACAAAAGGGCACTTTGACAGTCCGCAAGTAGATTCAGAAGTAAGTTCTAATAGAGACTCGGAGAGAATAGAAATCTCATGTTTGAGTAAATTTTAAAGATATATCTGATATAGAAACTCTCTAGACTTGTAATAAAACATTATAAATAAATGAATAATACAAATTCAAATTCAAAATGAAAATCATAGAGTACAACAGCTGAATTTCCCCGGGTAGTACTTCTTCAAGCTAGTATTCCCAAATAGGAAATCCAGAAGGGGGTGATTTGTAGATGTGCAACAAATGATGGAAATCACGGGGTATAGAGAGAGAGAAAGGCTCGATGCTTCCTTGAGTTATGTTTCTACTATACAAAAAGTATCTGAGTATCTGATTGGGGGTGAATTTGTAGATGTATAGTAACATTGAAGATTGAGGGGGAAATTGAGGGGTAATGAAAAGGATTGAAGTTTTTGCTTGGGACATTGGGGTTACGAAATGATTATTGGGGGAAGGTATACGTATCGAATGTTCAACTCAGGATGTTTATCTTGACATTGTGGTTGGTGATACATAGATGAATAGTCAATAGCACGAATAAAAGTTCAGGAGAAATAACATTCTTTGAAGTATATTCTCGGAATCTTTCTAGAGAAGAGCTATATTTAATATCAATTATCTGTCAATTGAAGGTATATTCATCAGCACAGTCAGTCGACCAAGTCACATACATGTGTATAGACAAAATCTCAAAATTCACACTCATGCCGTGGGTAGTGATTCCTCCAACTAGCGTGCCAAAATAGGAAGTCAAGAAGGGGGTGAATTATAGATGTGCATCAAAAGACATTCTTGATTGTAGAATTACGGGATATGATGTGATGTAGAAGTTTCCGAATCATTCTATGGAGTATTAGTCTCGCCTACTGGACCCATCGAGTCATTTCTTCAAAAGAGGAATTATTTGACGAGGAGATTGGAGATGGGAATTCAAATCGAACAGGTTTTTACCGGATCTTTTGGTACCAGCCTATCGGGTATGGCGGAAGAAAAAATAGAATTGGAATCGTCACTTTGGGGTTGATTAGGCAAGAGGTGCATCATTCTTACTTTCACTATCCCATGTAAATGACGGGTGTGATACAATCATTTACGTATTTCTACCGGATTTTCGATTGTAAATCATGACGTATGATGACAAAAGGTAAGGAATGTTTATCAATTACAGGTCGAGTCTCAAAAGTACAAAAAGGATATGTTTTAGTCCAATGAAATACAACATACATGGAGAGAAAATACAGATATACAACAAACATCGAAACTTCATCAGAGTTGTTGTCATACTATGGGGTATTGTACTGGAGAATCTCAATCATCTTTCTGCAATCTTCCGAAAAGGGTGATTTGCTACCAAATATGTGACTAGATTATAGATATGACAACTACAAATACTGACTAGAACTTTTCTAGTCTTAACCTAAAAATGATTGTGGCAGGAATGGGCGAGCATTCTCTTGATGTGCCGTGAACGAGATAGACAACACACGAAAAGGAGGCCTTCCTTATTAATCTCATACCAACTCAGCCTAATCTTTACTTTGAATCAGAATTTTCATAGAACCGATTAGATCATTTCGATTTACTGAATGGATGAACTGCATCATACATGCTAATCACTGATGAATCATTGGTACAATCAAAACAGATGATCACACTCCGTCGGTGAATGTGAATCACCAAACATATGTTTCTTCCAGGGAATATCTGAGCACTAGTTCACTAAAGTAGGAAATTCTCGAGGAGACGATTTGGAGACACGCAAAACCGATTATTTTTTTGCATCAGATTTCTAGAGCTAGAGCTGGAGCTAGAGCTACATCGCGAGATATGAGGTGATAGACCAAGAGAATTTATCATTCCAAAAGTCCATAGGAAATGACGAACGACATTGTGGAAACGGTGTTCAATACTTTAAGTTTGGACGAAGTGAGTTAGGTCATAGATCTTCATGATTTGTGGGGAGCATCGAGCTATCAACGTACTAGTGGTTACTGTGGAGATCTATGTAGATGAGGCTCTGCAATCTAGCGTGAGGGGGATGGAAATTTCTAATGACCACTTTTGTTAGTCAAGTCTGAAAAAATCTTGGGGAAGGTTGGATGAAAATGAATGGGGGGGGGAGGGTTAAGGTAAGACGAGGGGTTTGATGGGCAAGGAAGAGGTTGAGATTCATCTCTATGATAATAGCTTGTTTTGGGATGAATATTCGACTATTTTCAATAACTGTTAGGTATATGAAATCTCTGTTGCTCCGTCAATTTTCGCAAAGTATAATCTGTGGGATTTGAGTAAGATGTACCAGTGACTAGAAATGAAGCTTGGCTAGATTTTTCTCAGTCTGGTCAGAAGATAGGTATGATATGAGCAATTTTGAATCTAAGTTTTTATTTTAGAAAGACAGATATGCTGTCTCTGTGATCCAAGTCTTTATTCATAGACTAGTATTGAAGAAGAGGATCCTGTCGGAAGTGGATAATGTCCTCAGTTGGCATAGTGCTCGAGTTTCTCGAACATCGAAACACAGAGAAAGCACCAGTACAAAAATGATGTGTGGAACTAACTACTAAAATCAAAATACTTGAACTTTAAAAGCTGATAAAGGACTAAATGCAACTATTACTCATCTGAGACTCCGAAAAAATGATGATGGAAGCTTGAACTTAGCTTCGATGGAGGAGGTCTATCACCCCGCATCAAAAAAAGACCGGAGGACTTTGGTTTACTACTACTTACACCAAATAAGAAGACACTTGCTTCCAAATTAGCCAATTTACAACCTTCAAGCACGCAATAATTGAGTCATCACCTAGTAAACTATGAAAAAGTGCAAGATCGTCATCAAAATTTTATTTTTAGACCAAACTTTGTGCGTAATGTCGATATTCTCTACTAAACTTGAGTAGATCACATCTAATAGTTCCAAGAAGAGCGAACATTTTCTCCAAACTATTGAAACTCTGCTATCTAGTAGCTCTAAAGAACCGATAGCCAGAATTCTCAATTACTATAAAGCGATTGGAAATTCCCTACTTCTCTGATTTCTTTTTGAATCTCGAAATATCAAACATCGATCAAGACAATACATACACCATTACCACACTTGACTAGACACCACTTCAACATACAACAACATACAAACAACATACAACAACATACAACAACATACAACAACATACAAACATACAACATACAACATACAACATACAACATACACATACAACATACAACATACAACATACAACATACAACATACAACATACAACATACAACATACAACAACACTTTACCATCAACGACAATAAGATATCAGGATGCATTTCTCAAAGCTGCCATCACTGCCATCTTGGCCTTCAACTCAGTACAAGGTTTACCAACTGTAAGTTATACTTCCATCTCCTCTTAGATACTCTCAATGCAGACGAGCAATCAAAGGCATTCAATACCCGAACTTGATTGGGACACTCAAGTCACTTGAGGCACCAAGTTTGTTTTGGCCATTGAAAGCTTCTTATTGTTTTACTAGTTCTATGGTTCAGACCATTGAACTCTTGAATCAACCGAGTGAACTTTAGCTAATAAATCGTAGCAAAAACGCTGTGACACATGCGGCGGTGTTTCCGACAAAGAATCTAAGATTGAAGAACGTGATTCTCAAAAATTGCCTGTCAAGTATATGCGAATAATGCCATGGGCAGACTTTTGTGAAAAATGTCCACCAAAGGAATTTTTCGAAGCTGGTGGTGTTGGACATGGCATGACTCCAAAGGGAATGATGGGAGAGTACGTTGCTGGCCTCTGCAATCTACACTGTGGGACTGACTATCCCGAGTCCTACTCCAACATTCTCCAACCTAGAGTTACTATTTCTCCATCTGAATCAAACACTACCCAGCCTGAAGTTGTTACTCCTCAATCCGAATCAACCACCACCCAACCTGAAATTACCGCTTCCCAATCTGCAGGTCAAGAATATCCTGAAATCAAGTCAGATGATTACAAAGACAATAATTACACTATCCAATTTGAAGCTGACGATATCATTGACTTCAAGGCTGAACAGAAGGGCACTTGCACTACTGAAGGCATTTTCAGCTGTATTTCTGGAACATCGTTCCAACAATGCGCCAGCGGTACCTGGAGTGTTGCTCAAACATGGCTCCAGGAACTGTTTGTGTAGCTGGAAACGGGTATGGTTTGAGCACTGTAGCAGCCGAAAAGAGAACGATGACGACCCAGGATATCCAGAATTCTACTTCAGAGGAAATGGTGACCATGGTAGAGAAGAAACCTGTTGAAAAGAGATTGTGGATCCAAATTTTCAAATGGCAATTCTTCGGACCCAAACCACCAGTGCACCTTACTCCAGAGGAGCAGAAAGAGAAGGACACCGCAGCAGAAATCAAATATTCCAAAGAATTTCATCAATACGGCGGACATGGAGATCTCAAGAAGGAAGCCGAGGAAAAGAAAGCTGCCGATGAGAAACATGCCAAAGAATTTCATCAATTTGGCGGTGTCAACAAGGAAGACGAGAAGAAGAAAGCTGAGGAGAAGAAAATTGCCGATGAGAAATACGCCAAAGAATTTCACCAATTTGGCGGTATTAAGACGGAAGCTGAGAAGAAGAAAGCCAAGGAGGAGGAGAAAGAAGCACTTGCTTGGAAACAATTTGGACCCAAGGATGGAGAAAAGCAAGAATAATTTGAAGTAAGAGATACAAGGCTCTGGAGTTGGGAAATTTGTTTAATATGTTTGCTGGGATTTGTTTTTGTTTTTGCAATTCTTTTCGTGTGAATATGATACTCCATATAGCGGATGGTAGATCTCACACTCGCGCAGTTAAATTTGTTTCGTGATTTTTCGTGTGAATACGATACTCCATATAGCGGATGGCAGATCTCACATGCGCATAATATAGATTGATATAATAAAATTGAGGAATTTGTTCAACAAGATCCGATATAGCTTGACTGTCTGGGACCCGATACGTGAAGGAGGATGATGTAAACGAAGTGAATTGAAGAGTGGCCATATGAATGTAAAGAACAAACACAAAAATTAGATCATTCAAATCCCTCGAGGAATCCAGTCATGACTATGACTGCATTGCCTCGTATTTTCGTATAAAAGGAGGGGAAATACAGATTATCTGACACAGCATAGCTACAGCCTTGCGCAGACACAGAGTAGAGAATACCTAGGTATCTAGATCTCTTCGCTTACTAATTATGTTCTCAACACCCAATCACACTCCCGAAGTTGACTGCGGATAATCCAAGGAAAGGATAATAAAAGTATACATAACCGACCTAAAAGCAGTGGCGTAGATGTGCTAACTTACAAGTACTCAGGAAGTCCTGACTCTACCGTCGCGATGAAAGTTGAGTCAAGAATATGTTAGAATTAAAGAGATTGCTGAAACCTTGAACTTTGGAGCTGAGAAATGTACTTACTTACAGGGTTGTAAGCGCGCGCAAGGCTGTGTCGAACTCATAATAGTAGATGCGAATCATGCGAATGAAGCGAAAGGTCCTGGCCATAGGTTGTTGAAACAAACCACATATAAATCACGAGCTGCGATTGGTTCAAATTTTCGTAGATGAAGGCAAGGGCCCTCATTGTCCACACAGAATCTGCCATCGTAGTGTGCACTCACACGAAGATATAATCTATTGGCGAAGCATATGCACGAATGTCCGAATCGGTGCGAAGTAAGGCTTTGTGCAGGGCTTCTTTGGTAACAACATCGAACCAACTCTAGGGTAGTATTGCATATTTTTCACATGACATGTAAAGCGAAGGTGCCCAGTCAGTGCCTCTACGATTCTGTTTAAATACTTGCTTTGCGTTTTTACAAGTAGGTATTAATGAAGGTGTGAAAGTTGCCTGTTTAATTTGTTGGGCTGTTAAAGTGAGCCATGGTTTCTCTTGAAGTATTTCAGGAGCAGTTCCATAAGTTGAAAGAGGTTGAGGAGGGAAAGGATCAACTCATTGGGGTTAGTCGTTTGTCTTTCTGCCCCGCACATTACTAACGGACGATTTTATTGGTAGAAATTGTTTGCCCGCATCAACGAGTTGGAAAGTGGTCTGACGGAGACGAAGTTACATCTTGAGAGAGAACAGGATACTGCGAAATTGTACCAGTCGAAACTCTCTGATGTTCAGGTGAATCTTGCAAGAATCGAGGAAAGAATTGTATGGCTGACCAATGATTACTCTTAAAAACATCGTTATTGACAACATTCGAAGGATTCCAATAGTTATGTGTCGGTTCTCATTGATGGTGATTGCATGACGGTATGTACAGATGCAACTTTTCCTAGCCATCAAATTCGTACTTTGCCAGTCACTAAATGTTGAAAGTTTTGCGATGATCTCATCAAATCCTCTCAGCAAGGAGGGCTAGAGACAGTCCATCGCCTAAGAACAAAAGTGGGCGATTATCTTTCAACGGAGCTTGAGTTACCAAGCCAGATTTCAATCCGCATTCGAGTGTATGCAAATAAGAAAGGCTTGGCATCGGCCTACAGTCACAATAAAACCATAGGTAATGCAGATGATTTTGATATGTTTGTTCGCGGTTTCAATATGGGACACCCCATGTGCGATTTTGTGGATGCAGGTGATGGGAAGGAGTGTGCGGATTCGAAGCTGAAAGGTACTTTTCCTGAATTCATGAAATGTGAAATCTGTTGGAAAAGAAAATTCGTTACTGACCCTCTTCGTAGAATGTTTCACGCACGATATGGCTGATGTCCAATGCCGAGCGGTTATCTTTGGTGGTTCAGCAGATAATGGCTACGCGCGGATTCTCCAGCCATATGTAGGAAATATTGCAAAGAGTAATCGAGTTGTCTTGCTTGAAGGGCCTCCATTTGCTAAAGAATTAGCAATAATGAAGGAAAATTTCCTCGTTGCTCGCTTCCCGGGTGTGTTCAGAAACACAAAGTTATCAGTTCGGCGAGTATCATTACCAACCACACCTCCTAGGAGTTCCACCCCAGACACGCCCAGCTATGCTACAAGAGTGCTGAGTAATGTCGTTTCGGATGCTGTGAGTATGGAGGAAAGCAGCGATTCTTCAGTGGCTGTTCCGGTACGAACTAAGTATGCAGTACTTCGGAATCGCAAAGGACAGCGTCTCGATGCCATCGTTTCCCCGCCTTCATCACTCGTTACTTTGATGAGAAACACAAAACATTGCAACATGTTTCATATTTTTGGAGAATGTCCGTATAAGAAGTGTAATTTCTTGCACGGGATAAGGCTTGACGAAAAAGCAATCGACGCTCGACGATTCATCTCACGCTTCAAACCATGTCCCTCCAAGTTGAATTGCGAAGATGAAAATTGTTTATCGGGGCATCAATGTCCTGACAAGGCGTGTGCAAGAATTGGAAAAGGCTGCAAATTCAGCAAGGAGATGCATAACGTTGATAGATCTTAAGAGGACTATAGTGGTGGTGTGGACGTGTTGGTTCGTTAGGATCTGGGAGATGAGGTAATATACTCGTGTTTTGCGTACTAGGCAGTATTGGAGGTCTCGAATTTGATATTCTTCATGTACTCGAGTAAGGTTCAACAAAGCTTGAGAAGGGACGATTGTGCTTTATTCATTCATTGGTTTCCGCATAAGTACAAACGAATAGATCGAACAGTCAATCAATCAATATCGTACTTGCCCAGGTGGTGTGTAGTGAAAGCTAATGAGCCACACACATGAGCCACACATCTTATACCCCCGGGCCGACACCCTTAGTGGTGATGGATATCCACGATTCCAACCAGTGACCTCGGGATACAATTGATGGAGTTTCAGTCGCAAATACACGTTCGAAAAGAATTAAGATAAAAAAGCTCATGCAAGTATCTAAAATTGTTCTTCAGGTGTACCATAATATTGTGCCTGGCTCCTCACGATCATGAAAAGCATACCAGTATCATCTTCTACCAACGCTCCCAAGCAACCTTGGAGGTCTATAATATAAGCAAGCGAATTCTCGATGCGAAAGCCTATCTTATATCTCATATCAACAAATCAATGCAGGCACAGAAATAAACAACCTATAAGGGCGAGACCATCAATATGACATGTCCCTAAAATTTGTAGGTAATACTTGACAGTGCTGACTCTATTCCGAGCCTCCATCAAAACATAGATGGCGATATGGCTGCAACATTGAAATACCCGATAGATTATTTCGAAAAGCCTGACGAGATCTGACTGAATATGACTTCGAATACTTGAAGATAATAGTCAATAAATCAAAAGTATAGCACTTTATACGGATTTTTCAGCCCAAAATGTTTTTTGTACGAAGGAGCGAGGCCCGTTGGGTCACGTGACATATCAAGAACCTATATTATCTTAGAAATCCTTTGGATTCCTTTCTAGTTCTTTATAGAATTCTTCTATTGTGACGGAAACGGTGTTGTAGACCACGTGGATCAGATCATGTGATGGTCAGGGATTCATTATATAGAATACTCCGGAGCGGAACAACGATAACCGGATCGGCCGCAGGACCGATCACCGCTCCCGTGATCGGTACCCGAAGATCACCCAGTATATAATCCTATCTCTTCTCTACGAGAAGAGATCAGTTCTAGGAATATAGATGACGATATACACATTCTTGTACTTATACCATTATTGTCCAATCATTCCCCTCCATCGTGATATGCTATTGTTGTCAAGGTACGGGTAAAGACTTATATTGTACCATAAGAATAGAAGAGCTATGGAAAAGTGAAGCCCTATTTATAGGAAGTAGGGCGTGCTAGTATACTGTATCTAAGGCATAAAGGCAATTACGGATTATGTAGTTGGTGCTATAACAATACTCTTTGTTTAAAGCAATCGATCCATAATTGTAATACCAATTAACCTTTTAGAAAACAAAATAATATTAAAATACTCTAATTTTTATTATTGGATTAAAATGAACTTTTTTAAGAGTAATAATCAATTGCCAGAGTTTTTTAGGTTTGCCTTGACCTTGATTTGGGGGTGTGCTTGATATAAATACTAATAGGGAATTAGAAGTAATAAATCTTTTGAAGCCTATTTAAGCAGGTAGTTCTAGCTTATTTAGATTTATTAAATAAAAAGCGATAATTATATCTTTCTAATCGCAAAGGTTTTTAATAGATTGTTAAAATGTTGGGTAATGTTTTCATTTGATTTGATAGTGAAATCCGTTCTTGTTATGATAATCAAATAGTTTATCGAATTTCTATTACTTAGTTTCCTTGTTTGTTTCGTTATTTCTTTTTAGGATATAACCTTGATTTCGATGGGATTTGGCTTTGTTGATCGCTTCTTGACTGACTAGTCTAGATGAGCAATAAAGTGGTTGGAATAGTGAATTGTGGAATACTGGAAAGATCTTAAAACTAATAGGGAGCTGAAATAGACAGGCTCGTTTATAAACTTTTAGAATCTTATAGAAACTATTCCATTTATCATCACTTTTTTTTATTGAATAATTGGTTTTTATATTTTTAGTATTAATCTATATTTTGTTATTTTTTTTATATAAAAAGGCATTAATATAAGTCTTGTTAGTGTAATCTTTATATTTCTGAATGGATTAAGTAGCTAGGGCTTTCAATTTTGTTAGGATGATATCAAATCGATCCACAATCTCATTGGCCTTTAGGAACTTGTGTTTGTATTGATATAATAGGTTTGAGGGAACAAGTAAAGAGGGCTTAACATCAAGGCATGGGTAAAAACTGTAGTTAGTGAAGAATAGGGATATGCCGGTAGTCTCTAAGGTAGTATTATTAAACACAAACTCTGCGAGTGGGAGTTAATCGTATTAATTATTTTAATGAAAGTTTATAAAAGCCCGAAAATATTATTCTACCATAACATTAATCCTTTCTATTTGTCCATTGGACTCGAAGTGGAACGAGGAGGATCGTTTCAAAGTAATCGATAGACGTTTGGATAAGTGCTTCCAGAATTCTAATATAAATTGTGAATCTCTATTGGATACTATATTGTCAGGTATATTATATAGACAATAGACTTTTTCGATGAATCGATCGGCAAGCTCCTCTACGGATAATCCTATAATCAGAATGAAATAATGTATTTTCGTTAAACAGTAGATAACTATAATGATATATTAATGCTTTTTGCTATAGCATTTGCTGATTGGTAGTGGTGTAATATAGTTAATGGAGATATCGGACCAGGGGCGGAATGGTACTGGTAGGGATTCTAGGAATCCGGGTATAATAAAATGGGAGATTTTGATTTGGAAGTAAAGTTAATAGGCTTATATATAAGTTTCGATTTTCCTTAACATATTAGACCATCAATATATATAGGAGACGAGATTAATAGTTTTAACTCAACCGAGATATCCTATCGGATTAGTAGAGTATATTTGGTATATGATTTGGATATAAAGCTTAGTGGAAAAAAAAACAAAAAGGTAGTTGTGATAGAAAATTTTATTATTGATTAATCTATAGTCTTAAAGAGTAATTCGGAGATCTTTTCGGATTGATAGTGGTTAATAACAAGTAATTAGGTTTTGAAGTGTTTTATATATAATAGTAATCAATTCGGATGATTTGTATACTTTATCAATAAGATTATTAATCGGCTTCTCAATATCGGGGATGATTATATTTATAGGCGCTGTGGTAAGGTTGATATTGTTATTTGTTTATCGGATAAGGTCCTTGAATATAATAATATCGAATACTCTTTTCGGAAGAATTATTTATAAGCGATTCTTGATTTGATTATTATTAGGATTAATGTATACAAAGCGATCTTCTGCTTTTCTATTTAATATATTAGGGCGAACTGCTTTAAGACCCAGTCTGTATATAATACAAAAGTTGAAATCAGCTAGAAATTCAATCCATCTAGTTTGTCTTTGATTTAATATCTTTGTTGATATGAAGTACTCTAGATTCTTATAATCAATAATAATCTTGAATAGTTTTTGAGTTCTATATAATTTGGATCTTTATTCTTTTAAGGACTTGATAATAATTAGTAGTTCCTTATTATAAATCTTATAGTTGTATTTAGTAGTATTGTATTTTGAAAAGAAGTATATAATCGGGTGTAGTCGGCCCTTATTGTTATATTGAGAGAGTACTCTGCTTGTAGTTTAGTTGGAAATATTTGTTTTGATAACTGTATAATAGTAATAATCAAATATTACAAGAACTGGAGCAAAGATAAAAGTATTTTTCAAGTTTTCAAAGGCATTCTCTTGATCAGTAGTCCAATTTCACATATTCTTTTTCTTTAATAAACGATTCAAAGGTTCCGTGATTTTAGAAAAATTGCGAATAAAGTATTAATAGAAATTAGTAAACTCTAGAAAACATTGAAGATCTTTTAATTTAATTAACAACTTCTATTCGAGGATAGTCTTAATCTTATCAGGGTTTATTTTGATATTATCAGAAGTAATGATCAGGCCGAGGTACTTCGTTTTTCTTGTTTCGAATTTGTATTTGTTGATATCGATTTATAATCCAATATCGATAAATCTCCGAATAACTTTGCGAATCTGTTTTCGATAATCTATAGTATTTTTGGAATAAATCAAGATATTATTTAGATACATTATATAATTCTTATTCAAAAGATCAAAAGCGGATGCACTCGCTGATAAAGGGACAAGAAAATCAGCCTCAGGGCATGCGAATCGACCTACAGCAAGCGGTATCCGCTCTATAGCAAAAACTGCTATGGAATCGGCAGCACAGGCGTGGTGGATCAAACAGAAACCAATGCTCTCCAAACAGTACCAGAAATGGAATCCAAGGAGCACAAACAAATGCCCTAATGAACTAGAACTCTCACGAGCTACTCTCCACCGCATGCTAGCGATCCGCTCAGCACACGGCGATTTCGAAAGCTATCACCGACGATTTAAACACGAGGAAGCAACGATCCATTGCTCATGTGGCGCATACAAATCCCCCGAGCACATCGTGCACTGCCGCAAAGTCCTTGCGACCTACGAAACCTGGCCCCCAGATATCAGGCCCAAATACCCACCCCGCAACCAGGCGGCTCAAGAACGACTACTGAAACAGCTAATGCACACACCAGCCAAGTTCGCTGAATTTATTGCTATAACAGACTTCTATAGGAGCATATGCCCTAGAACGCTACCAGAAGAATAGGAAGAGGAAATGGAAATGGATCGATCGATCCGGGTGAACACAAATACAGAATAGGAGGCAACCGATATAGCAAGGCTATAAAGAACAAAATCGATATATGCAATACACTGCGTTGCACTAGAATGCATACAAAAGCTACCCTTACAGGATAAAGCAGCTTTCAATCAAAACATTATATAAAAGATCGGAAAGCGCGCACGGAGGCGCTCAGAGGATCGGAGACAAAAGCGCAAGCGCGCTAGCTATCGCTTGGGAGGCTACTGAGGGTATTGAGACCTCATTTTTAGGAGAGGGGGATCATGTAAATTAGAGATTATCCCGCAGTTAGCCCAACCGTAATGCCCCCTGGGAGGTTCGCCTATACGGCCCGGTTGAAAATTACTAATAATAATAATAATAATAATCAAAAGATCAAAAAGAATATAATTAATATAATTCTGAAATAAGATAGGAATATTGTAAAGGTCAAAAGGTATTACCAAAGATTTAAATAGGTCAAAGTGGGTTATAAAAGCAGTTTTCTATTTGTGATCTTTTGTGATTTGTAGTTTATTGAATGCGATAATAATATTTAATTTGGTATAAACTTTAGTATAATATAAAGCATTAAGGGTTTCTTTGATTAGTAATAGTGGATAATGGTTTTTAATAGTAATATTATTCAATCCTCGATAGTCCTAATAGATCCAAATACTTTCCCTAGGCTTTACAGCTAGAAGGAGTGGGATGGCCGATTGGGAATGGGATTTACAGATAAATTCTTTATTTAGGTTATTATTGAGCTATTTATAAACAACTTGGAGCTCGGCTGGGGATATTGGATGGCCTTTATTATATAAAGGCTCTTTATTTAGTATAATCTCGATCTTGTAATCCCAGGAGTATCATGGTAAAAGCTCGTTAGCAAGGGAGGGTAAGAAACCAGTGAACAGATTACGGAATCAAGGCGGGAGTTTACTTTGGATCTCGGCTATGGATAGTATAAGTCAGTTGGTCTTTTTCATAAACTT